AGGCCCTCGATACAGACAGGGGCTCACTGGCCCCCTGCAGACGTGCTGATAGACCTTGTGATCACGACCACGGTGGGGCTCCAACCACCACGCGAGATACGGGTCGGTCGTCCCAGAATACCCCATCCCGAGCGCCGTCCCACCTGGATTGTCTGACGCCACGCGCCTGCTGATCCCTATCACTCTCCCAGCGCTGGAGCCGTCGCCATGCTGGCTCCATCTGAAGGCCGTGGTGCCGTGGCTGCGAAAGGTGGGCGGCCTCTGGTTCGCACCTCTGAAGTCTGAGGCAGAGCCGCGGTCTGGAGGCCCCTCGGCGCCTGCAGGGGCGGGCGCTCAATGAGGGCCCCCGGCCTCCAGTGTGCGAAACTCTCGAAAAGATCAAAGCCAGAAACCTCCCGCTTGAGCCGCACACCTACGGAACCGACGGCGGCGGACCCCACGAGGCCCCAAACAAACCCCCAACTCCTGAGGCGTTGTGTATCATGTAACGAGGAGGAGAAGGGACGAGAAGGAGGAAGCGGAGGAGGGGGAGGCGGATGAGGAGAAGGGGGGAGTAGGATGAGTGGGGAGGAACGGGAAGGAGGAGGTAGGGCCTGGGCCGAACGACAGGACCCCGGGGGGAGGATGCCCGTCGGAAGCGACCCGCCCCTGGCATCCGAAGTCCCGTAGAAGATGCCCTCTGGAGGTCCCGGAAGGTCCCCAGAGGCTCCAAAGGCGCCCAAGACCTCGATCCTCAAACCTCGGACGGGTGGGCGATCGGGTGGGGGTTGGGGGGGGCAACGAGGTACAGTCGACACATGGCCCAAGAACGAGGGACAAGAACACGAGCCCTTTCGCCGATGGCTGAAGGCCCTCTGGAGTCGGGGGCGCGCAAACATGGATTAGCGATCCATGGATTTGGCGCGCGGTCGCCAAATCCATGGATCGGGGGAGGTGCCCTCTCCAAAATGCGGCAGGTGCCGCTTCGTTCGGCGGCGGAAATCCGCGATCTCCCATGGAAGCTGGACCCGTCGCTAATCCACGCCCCCTTGATCCATGTTTGCGATCGCCTGATGGATATGCTCAAAGCGAAGAACACTGCAGGGGGAGGCCCCGAACACGAAGAACGGGAGCTGCACCCCTCGAACGCTAGTGTTTGGTCGGGCATGTCCTCCTACAGGCGAATTTTTGAAGAAAAGCGAGCAATACCACAAACATGCTCCAACATAATCAAAAGTGCTAGAGAAATCGTCCCCATACTATTTCTTTTGACTATTTTTGAGCATCCCCCTTTGTAGAGGGACGCGCCCCACTTGCAAGCCAGGGCCTGCTCCATTCCTTCCATCAGCTGGGCTGCCGCTGCTCCCCCGGACCTCCTCCATGGCGCGCTCTGCTCAGGGCTCCGAGGGCGGGCCTGGCCGTGGCGGCTGGGGCCTCGGCATCTCAGTGCGTCCTCCTCCTCCTCCGACCCTCGCAGGGGCCCAGAGATCCGATGCCGTTTTTTTTTTGGAGGGGGGGGGTTATCTTTAACATTGAGTTTTCGTTTTTTTTTTTTTTGCAGCGCGGGCCCACGAAGCCCAAGCCCCTTCCGCCGGCCAGCCCTCCATCCCAGCCAGTGCTTGAACGGGCCCCCGGGGCCCAGCGAGGGCCCCGGGAGGCGCACAGCAGGCGCGCACGACGAGGAGGAGGAGGAGGAGGGTGATGAGGAGGAGAGGAGGAGGAGGAGGAGGAGGGATGGGGAGGGGAGAGGAGGAGAGGAAGAAAGAGAGGAGGAGAGGAGGAGGAGGTAGATGAGGATGAGGAGGGGACGATGCTAGGAGGAGGATGAGAGGAGAGGAGGACGGATGAGGGAGGAGCGGGGAGTAGGGAGAGGAGAGGAGGAAAGAGGAGGGGAGCAGAGGAGGAGAGAGGAGTCGAGGTCGACGAGGCACGTCCCCTTCGGCCGGCTCTGAGATCAGGCTCGGCGGCCAGGGTTGCGATACACCGCAAACTCACTCTCGTGGCGCCCCTCCTTCCGCCACTTCTCCCCGAAGGTGGCGCCCTCAATCCTCCTCCTCCTCCTCCCCTCCTCCTCCTCCTCCTCCTCCTCCTCCTCCTCCTCCTCCCCCTCCTCCTCCTCCTCCTCCTCCTCCGCCTCCTCCCCCCCCCTCCTCCTCTCCCCTCCCCTCCTCCCCCCCTCCTCCTCCTCCTCCTCCTCCTCCTCCTCTTCTGGCTATTCCTCCTCCTCCTCCTCCTCCTCCTCCCCGTACGGCCGGGAGCCTTTGCTCAGCGTGTCGCGGCGGCGGCCCTGACATGCCTGGCGAGTGGACAGCGTGTCGCTCCGCTCCGCGTGGCGTGAGGGTTGGAAAGCCTCGGGACGTCGACGCAGAGGGGCGGGGACGTGGCCAGCGTGTCCTGCCGAAGCGTGGTGGGCCAAGACCGGCGGAGCGACACGCTATCCACAAGCTCCCGACTGCAGCGTCGGAGAACCTCCGCAGTGTACAGTCGGCCCATACATCACAAGGACACGCGACAAGGATGCAAAGGGCCTTGGACGCCCGTTTCCAAGCCTTTCGAGCGGGGCGCGGCCAACGACAGTGGCCAAGGATGCACCGAGGAGGCAAGGATGCAAGGGTACCCTTGGGAAGGTTGCCCATCCACATTATGCGGGTTGACTGTACTTTTCGGCGGTGGACAAACCTCCCTTTAGTAAACCTCCCTTTAGTGAAAACGACCTGGGACCGAAACCGACGGACCTGGACCCGCAAAAATGACGGCCGCGACGCCCTCTCGAAAACCGACAACGGACAATTCACCAATCGACGTGTCAGGGTAGGAGGTCTGTCCACCCCCGAACTTCTCAATACGCTGGAGGTCCACCAGCGCCGCTGAGGCCCCGAGCGGCGGCGGCGGCGGCACGCCTGGCCGCTGCCTCCTCGGCCCTGGCGACCGAGTCCGCCCCCCTGCGCAGCGCAAGGGGGGGGGGGGGAAGGGGCGAGGGGCGCGGAGGGCGAGGGGAGGCAGGAACCTCCCTCCCTCACTCCCTCCTTCCCTCCTCCTCCCTCCCTCCCTCCCTGCCCCTTCCTCCCTGCTCCTCCCTCACTCCCTCCTCCCTCCTCCCTCCTCCCTCCTCCCTCCTCCTCCTCCTACCATCCTCCCCTCCTCCTCCATCCCTCCTTCTTCTTCTTCTTTTTCTTCTTCTTCTTCTCCTCCTCCTCCTCCTCCTCCTCCTCCTCCTCCTCCTCCTCTTGCGGCACAGCGACAGCGACGTATCAAAGCAACATCCATGCACCCGAAGCGCACGGATGAGCCCAGGGGCACAGAAAGCGGGGAGCGGAGAGAGGGAAGAGAGAAAGAAAGGGAAGAGCAGAGTCGGACCCAGGCCAGCAGGACCGCCCTCGAGAGCACGAGACCCTCCGCTGTCCCAACACACACGCGCACAGCACGTCCAAGGGTACCCTCCCCAGGATGCACAATACCATCCAGCGAACACGAAGAACACCAGGGATACCCTCCCCGTGCCGACCTCGATCTTACACCTCGGTCCGACTGCATGGTGGGCAACTCAATTCCCCACGGAAAGGCCACGCTTAGGTCGGGCATGCCCCCCTACAGGCAGATTTTGGACGACAGATTAAGCATACCCCAGAAATATGTGGAAATGGTCAACCATAGTAGAAACACATCGTCTCCAGACCATCTTCTGACCATTTTTCTTCCTCCTGTACGGGGGACAGGCCCGACTTCAGGCTACGCTGGGCGAGCCAGGCGCAGGCCTCCACCGTGCCTCCACCATATGGGGGCTGCTGAAGCCAACCCTGCCCCAGAGGCCAGCAGAACCAGCCCTGCGCCCACCTCCCCGGGGCTGGACCTACACGTTGCTCCTCGCTCTGCCTTCGTTCGGACTCTGTTCGCTTCGCGCTCTGCCCTGTTTTTTCCTGATGCCTCCCTCCCGACGAGAGCAGCAAACCACAGCCGAAGTCCAGCAACACGGCGTTTGGGTCCAGCCCTCCCCCCACCCCGCTCGCCCAGGCCTCGAGCGAGGGCCGGCGGCCGTGGGGGCCGTCGCATGCGGCGGGGAGGGGCGGGCGCGGACGGGGGTGGGGGCGACGACGGAGGAGAAGGGGCCCGGGTACGTCAGGTTCGCGTCGTGCCGACTTCGGCGTTGGTTCCTGACACCGCGGGGATCTTTCAACCTTTAACGATCGGTCGTTTCCGAAGCGTCTTAATCGTTCCACATCGTGCTATTCTGGGTCGCCCGCGGCGTTTCAAGTTGAACGCCGCTGGCGGAGTCTCCGCCGGTCGACACGACACGAACCTACCGTAACGATTGGGGAGTTCAGACGGTTGAGCCCCCCCCCTCCAGCTCAAGAGCGGCCACCTCTCCTGCCTCCCTGAATGCCCCCAGACGCCAACGAGGCCTGGGGGCGGCACGGTGGAGACAGCAGGCTGTGGAACCCATTCTGTACTCGAGAACTTCCCTTCTCATGGGCCCTGCCCTGACGAGAGACCCGCCAATCCGACAGAGAGCCGGCTGGGCAGATCAGGTGGGAACCTGCCCTGCAGTCAGCAAGGGGGCGTCTAACACCCTGCCCATGCCGTCGGTCCCTCCCTCCCCCTCCTGCTCTCCTCCGCCCCCGAAGAACTCAAATTTCACCATGGTTGCTGGAGATACAGCAACTGAGAAGGTGCGGGTTCTGGTGCGGAGGGCCATGGATGGGGACGGAGAATCAGGAGAGCGCGCCAGGTGGGCGGGATTCGATCCGTGCTCAGACAGGTCGGCCCCTGCTCGAGAATGCCCATGGTGAGGGCGCTGGTTCGTTCAGGCGAAACCCTGTGCAGCGCCGCCAGGAGAGGGGGGGCGGCCGGCGCACACGAGTCCCACCTCCCGGTCCGGTCCTTCCCCTCTCCAGCGTGCGGCCTGGCGGGCGCGCGTGCCCTGAGGCCTCGGGGCCCCGTGCTCGTCTCGCGCCCCGCTCGCCCGCCGGGCTCGGTTCGTCTGCTCCCTGCCCGGCTCGGCGCGCTGCACGGCTTCCATCACGCCGGCGCTCCGTGCCGCGGCACGGCGTCCGCGCCACGGGAGCACCCTTTTGCTGGCCGTTGCTGGGGCAGCAGGGCGGACCGGTTGCGTGCTGGAGCGGTGCAGAGGAACGTCGCCGACTCGGGCGGGGCGGCAGGCTGTGCCGAGGCCGCGGGCGGGGGCAGGACGAGAGAAGGGTGAGGCGGCAGGCCCAGGGCAGGGGCCCACGAGAGGGGGCCACAAGAGGAGGCCTCGGGCCGAACATACGGGGCCTCGGGCCGTGCCCCCCCCCCCCCCCCAGAGGGAGGGCCCAGGATCGGATCGACGAGTCGGATCGGCATCGGATCGGCGGAAAGCGGCAGCCGAGTCGGAACACATCGAAGCGGTGGACATCGGCGGGAGTAGCCAGTCTGCATCGAGAAGTCGGAGTCCAACTCGGAATCCGAAATCGGATCGGATCGTGATCGGAGGCCATCGAAGCCGAATCGGATCGAATCGGAGGACTCGAAACGAGCCCTGCCCCCCCTTCTCCTCCCTTGCTGCCCCGTGCTGGTGCGCGCTTCCGTGCAACGACTCCCAGCACACAACGCCGCACTGCCGAGTGGACGCGATGCTGGGAGCAGGTTCGCTCTGGGAAACGAAGAAAGGGATACGGAGAAACCCTGCAGGTTGACCGCAATGTCTGCTGACGCTGCTTGCCCAGAGCCATGCAGGGGGCACGTACAGGCGGACCACAGGCGAACGCTTCAATCAGCATCAACCTGTGGCGATGGACAGATGAAACAAGACAGGGGCGGGAAACACTGAGGGTCATGCGTGCCCCTCCGCGCATGGCCGGCCGCCAGGGCCTGCGCACGAGGACTTCATCGGCAGAGCCCAGGAAACCACGCGGCTGCCCCGGTGGTTGCCGCCACTTCGGCAGCAGCAGCGCTGCTGCTCAGCGTCCCCCCCTTCCATCACCGTTCTGCTGCAGAGCGCCTTCCCGGACGGCTGGGCAACGCCCGCGGCGAGGGGAAGACGGGTCCGAGGGGGTATATTGCGAAGAGAGGACAGGACAGGACAGGACAGGACAGGGAGAAGCCGCGCCTCGACGGCGCATCGGCACAAATTGGCATGAAAACGAAAGCCAAATAACGTGCAAACAATTGTGCTGAATGCACGCGCGCCGGGTCACAGCCACTGTACATAGACCAATGCTGGGCGGTGGGCACCACTACACTCGCACATCGCACACTGAACATGCAAGAGGGCAGGGGGAGAGGGAGTGCGGAGCGGAAGGGAGGAGGGGGGGAACAAAAAGGGAGAGGGCGACGAGAAGGCGGGGGGCAAACATGCAGAAACTGTGGCAACATCCAACTTACGTGGCACCGACGTGCACAAGTGTGGGCTCGCACTCTGCAAGATCGGCCCTTGCCTGCACAGTCTCACGACCGTGGGCGTACCACACCCGGGGCAGCGTATCCGGTTACTGGAGGCAATGGGCGGCTTGCAGCGGCCGAGCACTTTTGCGCGGCTCATGCACGGTGCCATCGACTGCGAAAATGCATCAATCGCGTCTTGGATATGATATGATGCTTTTCGGTGTCGTCTCATCTGTCTTAAGATTGGCGTCAACACGATTACTTCGAACTCTTCCTCTGTCTCCTGCCCGACGGAATCAACGTTCCACCATTGCCATCGAAGAATCCATGACACAAACATCGGCTTCCACCCCCGCCGCTACATCCTGTGCTGCTGCGCATCCATTTGTTTCGCCACCCTCCGCCTGCTGATGAGCAAACTCAAGGTCCTCGAGCGACGAATACTGTATGACGATGTCTTCGTCTTCTTCCTCCTGGGGAACACGTGGCGGTCACAGCCCATTGGCACCAGTGGGGTAGCAGGACACCTCGTATGTCCGTTCCTTTGCCGGGTCCATCTTGACAGGGGGGCCGCCATAGCGATCACAGGCCGGGAGATGCTCCATCTTGAGTTGGGTCTGCGTGACTGCGTCGACGCAGTCTCCCGGCAGTGCCAAGAACTTGTTACTAGCAGCGTCGTTCGCGGCCACGGTGCTACCACCCGAGCCTGCGAGCTCCGCGTCGAGTTTGGCACGGACCTTCTGAATTTTCTCGGGTGGTATTTGTCTCGCCCATCCTGCTATTGTGTCCGGCTCTCGGCTCCGCCTCCGCCAATGAGAGGGCATAGCACACGGCTTGGTCCCGAACAAAACATCCTTGGACGTGACTTCCACTGGCCTTCGCAAGGCGGAGTAGTGTAGCTCTGTGCAGGACTGTGGCAAGGGTATGCACATCCGAAAAATGGTCCGGGAATTGCACCCTGGAGAACAATCGTGAAGGACCGTTCAATCAGAGGTGAACGCAACTGAAATTCTGCTGGCCGTGCCTTTGAACCACATAGCTACGGACTCCTGTACCTCCTACTTCTCCTCCTCCCTCGTCGTCGTCGTCGTCGTCCTCCTCCTCCTCCTCCTCCTCCTCCTCCTCCTTCTAGCCTGGCCACGATCTTTCCCTCCTAGGAAGGCTGTTGCTGGGGTGCACCTGTCTGGTGGGACCCTCGGGCTCCTCGTCGCCGCTCCCGCTTGCTTGGGGATTGTTTTGCCGCCGCCGCGGCGGCAGGGCGCTGTGCTCGGACTGCGTCCCATTCCCATTCCCATTCCCATTTCCATTCCCTCCTTCCCCTCCTCCTGCTCCTCTCCTCCTCTCCCCTACCTCCTCCTCCTCCTTCCCCTCCCCCTCCTTCCCTCCCTCCTCCATCCTCCTCCTCCTCCTCCTCATCCTCCTCCTCCCTTCCTCCTCCTCCTCCCTCCTCCTCCCTCAGCCCTCCCCCTCCTCCCTCCTCCCCTCCTCCCTCCCCCTCCTCCCTTCCTCCTCCTCCCCTCCTCCCTCCTCCCTCCTCCCTCCTCCCGCCCTCCCTCCTCCCTCCTCCTCCTCCTCCTCCTCCTCCTCCTCCTCTCCTCCCCTCCTCCTCCTCCTCCTCTCCTCCCTCCTCCCTCCTCCTCTCCCTCCTCCTCCGAGGCTCCTCCATCCTCCCCTCCTCCTCCTCCTCCTACTTCCTCCTCCTCCTCCCTCTTCACCTCCCTCTTTCCCGTCAAGAGCGCCTGGTGCCGTCGACGTCCAGGCTGGCGGCCGGGGAGGCGAGCTCCTCCCGGGCGTCCCTGGCCTCCGCCCGGCGACCTCGGGCCGCTCGGGGGGCCTGGGCGAGCGGGCCTCCAGGATCGAGCTTCGTTCTCCTCCCCTCCATCCCCTCCTCCTTCCTCCTCCCTCCTCCTCCCCCTCCTCCCCTCCTCCTGCTTCCTCCTCTCCTCCTCCTCCTCCTCCTCCTCCTCCCTCTGTCTCCTCTTCCGTCTCTCCCACCTACTCCTCCTCCCTCCTCCTCCTCCTCCCTACTCCTCCATCCTTATCATCCTTTCTTTCTCCTCTTCCTCCTCCTCCTCCTCCTCCTCCTCCTTCTCCCTCCTCCTCCTCCTCCGCCTCCTCCTCCTCTTCCCTGTCCTCCCACTCCTCCTCTGCTCCCTCCTCCATCCATTTTCTTCATAAGTAACTCATCGCTGTCGCGCCTAGAGACATGTCGGTAGGGCGGGCCGGGCGTCTCGCCTGAGACTTCCTCAACACGTGCGGTCCTTAAGCTTAACATGTGAAGCAATTTCACTGATGGAGGGCGATCCGTTTTCAAAATGCGGCTCTCGCCTTGGCGCCGCGCGCAGTCGTCTGAAAAGTTTGCCAGAGCTTCACGGTTGGAGGGCGGTATATTTTTCAAATGTGGCTCTCGCCGTAGCGCCGCGCACATTCGTCTCAAGCGTTTGTTCGCGTTCCACGGATGGCAGGCGGTTCTTTTTCTACATGTGGCTCTCGCCCTGGCGCCACGCACATTCGTCTTAAGAGTTAACAGCAACTTCAAGGATTCATGTGGTTGACGTCCCAGAGATGGTGTTTTGGCACGATGTAGGATTGTCAGGGCGCAACCGTCACCTTGATTCGCGGTGTTGAAATTCCAGGAATGATGTTCTGGTGCGTTTCAGGGCCCGCAGGACGCAACAATAACGTTTATTTGCGGCGTTGGGGTCCCAGGAATGGTGTTTCGGCACGGTTCGGGATTCTCAGGCGGTTGTCTTCCAATGGGGCACTTCCCTCAGTGAAAATAAACCCTTACAGGGGCCTCTGAAGAGGGAATTCGGAGGGAGGGTCTATTGCAACATCGTTGACCAGTCTTGAGTTTACTCTGGTCCTCCTCCTCCTCCCTCCCCCTCCCCCTCCTCCGCCTTCTCCTCCTCCTCCTCCTCCTCCTCCTCCTCCTCCTCCAATTTCTCCTCCTCCAATTCCTCCTCCTCCTTATCCTGCTCCTCCTCCTCTTCCTCCCCTCTTCCTCCTTCCCTGCCTGGAAGATTGCGCCCCCCCTCTGCGTAGCGTTGTTGTGTCATACGCAGGACTGTGCAGAACCCGATGTGGTTTTACAATATGATTATCTTCGGTGTTTCAAAATGGTGCTCCCGCTGCAGAGTGGGCCTCATTTTTGGATCGGCGCTGTGCTCCCGCCGTTCAAAATAGCGATCTCGCCCCAGCGGAGGCCACTTTTCTGGGTCCGAATCCTTTTTCATCTTTGTCGCCCCCCTCATCCCTCCAAGACGGCCCCAGAGGCGCCCAGGAAGGCCCAAGAAGGCCAAAAGACAGCCCCAAGGAAGGCCCAAGAGGGGGAACACGAACGAACAATCCGAGTCTTCCGCCCCAAGATGTCCCCCAGGATGCCCCGGGGTGGCGCCAAGAGGCTCCCAAAAGGACCCCCCGGAAGCGCCCAAGACGCTCCAAGGGGCCCCAAACCGGCTCCGAAGAGGCCTCTAAACGGCCCCCCAAAGGCCCAGGAGAGGCTCTCCGCGACATCCCAACGAACATCCTAGAGGCCTATGACCAACTACCCAGGCACGGTGGCGGGATGGGCCGAAGGCCATCCGATCCGCCGCCCCCTGCTTGCAGGGGTGCACGGCGTGCTGGATGTTTCAGGTTTTCGTTTTGGTTCTTTTTCCAAAAGAACTCCCCAGTGGGCTCCGGCAGAACCCGCCGGCCACCCGGAAGGCCCCCAAACGTGCTCAACGACCGGAAAAAATCCTCCAAAAAACGGCCGTTTCGCTCGGGACATCCTCAAAAAATCGCGAAGATGGCCCAAGATGGCCTCCAAGTCCGCCCGAGATGGTCCAAGACGGCCTCCAAAACGGCCCAAGAGAGTCCAAGACGGCCCAAGACGGCCCAAGAGGCCCCCCAGAGGCCTCCCAGACGGCCCAAGAGGCCTCCAAGAGGTCCTCCAGGAGAGTCCGAAGAGGCCAAAATCATTGATTTTCCATTGGTTTTTGAAGGATTTTGGCATTTGCGCCTTTTCGGCTCTCCGACGGCTCAAGACGGCCCAAGAAGCCCCCAAGATCGCCCAAGAGGCCCCCAAGAGAGCCCCATGATGGCCCAAGTGGCCTCCAAGATGGCCCCTAGAGGGCCCCAAGAGGGCCCAAGAGGCCTCCAACACGCCCAAGATGGCCTCCAAGACGCCCAAGATGGCCTCCAAGACGGCCCTGGAGCATTCCAAGCGGGCCCCAAGTCGGCCCATAGAGGCCCCCCAAACGGCTTCCGACGGCTTCAGACGTGCCAGGAACCCACCAAGATGGCCGAAGTTGGCTCGAAGCTGGCCCGAGACGGCCCAAAAAGCCCCAAAGATCGCCCAAAGCTTGCCCAAGAGGCCTCCAAGACGGCCAAGATGACCTTCAAGATGCCCACGTGTTCCCCGAAGGCTTTCCAAACCGATTCGGGGAACACGTGGTCCGATAGCTTGGCAGGTCTGGCCTCAACGTTCGGCCACATAGGCGCTTCCAAAAAGGCAGGGGGCGGCGGTGATTCGCCGTAGGCGTCTTCGATAGCACTCTCGCCCCAGCGGGGGCCACTTTTCTGGATCCGAATCCTTTTTCATCTCCTGCTCCTCCCACTCCTTTCACTCCAGTTCGTGCTGCTGCTGTTCGTCTTCGTCCTGTTCCTTCATCCATCTTCTGCTCATCCGCCTCCACTTCCTCTTCATCCTCTGTACGCAGCTCCCCTTCTCCGATTGCGCATAACACGATGTTGATTTTGTTGTTGGGGCTCCACGTCGATTAAGAGACGCGTCCACGGATTGAGAAACCGTCAGCGCAGTGGAACGGGATGCGAGGGAGGGATTTGATGCCTGTCAGGTGGCGCGACCGCATAGCTTGTCCTCCCCCCTTCTCCTCCTCCTCCCCCTCCTCCTCCTCCTCCTCCTCCTCCTCCTTCCTCCTCCTCCTCCTCCTCCCCCCTCCCCCACTCCTCCTCCTCCTCCTCCTCCTCCTCCTCCTCCTCCTCCTCCCCCCCTCCTCCTCCTCCGCCGCCTCCACCTCCTCCTCCACCACCGCCACCTCCTCTCAAATTCTCGTGGACAGACATCATGCAGCCAGACTCCGTGCATCGAGCGGGAGAATGGCGAGCTCCACCGTGGTCGGCCAGGCCACGCCTGTGCTGACTTGCACCACCGTGTTGACGAAGAGCTGGCTCCTTCTCTTCTGGATGACGCTGGCAAGTATGCCGGGAGGAACTCGGGGCCCGACTATCGGCACTCGACCGCAGGTGGGGCTCCCTGCGAGGAGGCAGCCCTCGGGGGCCACACACCCACGGGCGATGCCCAAGTCGCACGCGGTGAAGGGAAGTGGTGCGGGTTTTTGGGCATGGCGTCTCCTCTTCGACGTCGTTTCGGTGAGCGGACCAGCAGGCACACTGCGAGCGCACCTACCTCTTGATGCATGCTTCAGATTGGTGTATCTGTTCGAAACCACATGTTCCCATCCTTCCCAACATCACTCTCACCTGCTCCGCTTCGTGGGAGACCACCTCGGTCGGCTGGCTGAGGTGGGCGAACGTCGGCTTGGAAAGTCCCGTGTCAGATCTCTCGTCGCCTGGCTGCGGTCCCGTATCGGCGAACAACCCTGTATAGTACAGAAGGTGGTCCAAGCCGAGGGGGTGGAGTGTTTGCCGAGCGGACACGGCCCTGGGGCCCTCCAGTCTGCCAGGAGATACTGTTCAGGTCCCACGGGGCACGTGGGCCGATGCCTGAGAAGGAATGGGCTGGGAACCTGGAACTGTTCGTGAAACTGTCCACGGGGCAGTGGATGGAGACAGTATGACCAGTGAGATGCAGCACCTCTGTGCCAGTGGACTGCGCCTGCCGCCGTCGAGCATTGCGCCGCTCGGGCAGGCAGCCCTTCAAGTTCCCCATCGCGCTACAGTTGGCGCTGGCAAATCTCGCCCACGCCACTGGGACCTTGCCTCCAAGGGCGCGCTTGCAGCGCTCGGCTGTCTTGTACGTATGTGACGTGGTTAGGAACTGGCCCGGCATACGTTCGCATGTACGCGTGGTACTACTCGCTCAGCCTGCAGGAGGATACCGTCTTATTGCCAGACTTCCAACAACATATAGTGTATGGGCCAAATGTGGGCATCGAATCTTGGCCGTCCCTAATTACACAGCGTTCGGCACGCAAAAAACATCTACCACCGACATTGCCGCCAGAGTTCTAGTGTAGGCTGAGGGAGGAGGCTGTGAAGACCCTGCAACTCTCGCCAACGTGCACGCTATCATAGATACCAAGAAATGATTTGACAACATTGACTGGCACCGCGAATATCCACTGTTTCCTGGACAATTTATGGTTCTGGCCGTGAGAAGGTACACGAATTCGAGACGATCATCCTGGGACATTTTTCATTCGCATGACCTTAGGGCTCGGAGGGGTGCGCTGCCTGGATGTGCGTTTGCTACGCTTGCCTGGCAATGTGTCATCTTGTCGCCTTTTGACGCGCTGCGCAAACACACTCAGCGCATCCCTCGCACTATAGATCTTTACGTGGGCGACATTCCGGTTTCTGTCACGGGCACGGCCAGTAAGCTTATGCACTGGGCTCCCCAAGTACTCAGGCTCGGCGTGCACGTCTTGGATGCATTGGGGGCTTGGCAGCGAAGCGTACGATGAAGGTCACCCCCAGCAGTCCCCAACTGGGCCGTAGGTGCGCTCCAAGGTGGGGTCTGTACTGTTAGGTCGGGCATGTCCTCCTAAGGCGGATTTTGGAAGAAACATGAAAGAAGAGTCCAAGCATACTCCATAATAGAAAAAACATCCTCCCTAGACTATTTTTTGACTCTTTTTGAGCATCCCTGGTGTAGAGGGACATGTCCGACTTAAGCGTGCACGTCGTTCATTTCTAATCGTGCTCATTTCTAATCATGCTCGTTTCTATTTGTTCCTGGCCCCCCAGTAGCCAGGAAGAGGCCCAGGACAGAACAATTAGAAATGAAAGGATCTAGGCCCCCCCAAAAAATCAAAGTACTTCCGAATAATTAGCGATGTGTAGGGAACCGAACTCTATACACCGACACCGTTGTCTGGCCTCGCACTGAATCTCGCACAGGAAAGCGGATCCTGGTGTATACGGGATCCTGGTGTATACATTCTTCGTCGCTTCCCCAGAACAACGGGGAAACAAGTATACACCACACCACCCCGACGTCGTCCCCGACCCTCCTAAAAGTCCTGGGATTGAAAAACCGCCCACCACCACTAAGCCGTGCATCCGGTAGGACGCGTGGGCGGAAGAGCGCGCAATTGGCGACTCTTCAGCAGAACTGCAACAGAGAGCGAGAACGCTGAGCGCCCCACGACTGTGAAGCAGGCAGCGGAGCGCAACGCGCCACTGGTAATGGATATGCTCCCGTTTCCGACAATGCTGCAATGACGACAATTGGCGTGCCGGGTCGTCGAGCTGATCCCGGCACTGGGCGCCGGCCCTCAGGCTGGCGCGTGCCCGGTGCCTGTGCCGGCGCTCGCCCCGCCCCGGGGCGGCGGCGCCGTCGTGCCATGTGGTGTCCACCTCCTCCTCCTCCCCCTGCCCCTCCCCCTCCTCCTCCTCCTCCTCTCCTCCCCCTCCCCTCTTCCTCCTCCTTCCTCCTCCTCCTCCTCCTCCTCCTCCTCCCTCCCTCATCCTCCTCCTCCTCCTCCGCCTCCTCCGCCTCCTCCGTCCGCTCCGCCTCCGCCTCCGCCTCCGCCTCCGCCTCCGCCTCCGCCTCCGCCTCCTCCTCCTCCTCCTCCTCCTCCTCCTCCTCTCCTGCTTATCCTGCTCCTCCTGCTGGTCTCAGGCGATCGCCTCGTCGAGGGTAATGTCGTCGTGCCTTGCGCCGGACGCCGGCGGTAAGCCGCCAGCCCGGTTACCGCCGGGGACCTCGTAGAAAAAGAAAAAACGCCATAAACATAATTCTTGGCGCTCCGCGCGGATTTCTTGGATCTGCGCTGGGCCCCCATCTCTGGAGCGCGGAGCGCGCCAGGGGCGGCGACAGAGGCGCCGCCGGGGGGGCTCGGCGCAGATCCAAGAACTCCGCTCGGAGCGCGAACAGTTCATGTTTATGACATTTCTTCTTCGAATCATCATGCCGTAGTTCCAGATGGCCCTGTGCAGGCTGGCCCTCTGCTTGAGCCCCGTGGGCCCGCAGAGCCGGTCCTGCAGCGCGTGGCAAACGGCCCGCCCGGCGGGTGGACGGCGCGGGTGGCAGGGCACTGGCACCTCCACGTCGAAAGGGGCCCAGGGGCACAAGGAAATAGGTACAAATCCCAAGGTTTCCAGGATTTTCCAATCTTTTCTGGGTTTTCGTCTTCCCCTCCACTTACCATATTTTTCCACATTTTGCGGGGAATCGACGATTCATTGTGCCTGTGTTTTTTGTCTCGCTCCTGAACGCCACGTGATCAGAGGTTCCATGGTCGTGGCCGCAGAAGAAGCACGGGGAAAGGAGGGGGACCTCCTCACCACCCCGCGTCGCGGCTGCTGCGTCGAACGCTGAAGGGGACGACGGCCACTGCGAAAACTCGTGGAGACCTCCACGGTTTTTTCTTGGCGAGGTCCACCATGGCCTTGACGCGGTCGTTGGAGGCCTGGTGGGGCATGCCTGGGCTGTCGGCGTCGCGCTGGCCAGACTTCCGCCAGGAATGGTGCTGGGTGTCGCACGAGGCCTGCCAGAGAAGGTGTTCTGATAGCCCTGGCGTGTGCCAGTGCCCGCTGTCGGAGTCGATCGGCAGGTCCTTGTTGATGCCGTCGTGCCTCCACAGCCAGGGGGGGTGCTGCTGGGGCCTCTGCCCCGCCCGTTCCAGGTGCGTGGACAGCAGCCGGGCGTGGCCCCTCTTGCGTGCGGCCCGCGGCATGTCGAGGGTGCTGGCGGTGCCCTTCTGGACGGCCTTCCCGGTCGCTCGGGAGGTCGACGCCGCCGCGTGCTGCTGGGCTCGGTATGGCGTGGGGTGGCCCTGTGCCCGCTCACCAGCAGGCGGAGCGGCTCGGCCGACTTGGCGGGGCACCTCCAGCGCCTGCCACGCCTGGGCGAGGAGGAGGAGGAGGAGGAGGAGGAGGAGGACCAGTGTAAACCCAAGAGTCATCAACGATGTTGGAATAAACTCTCCCTCCAAGCTCTCTCTTCGTGGGCCCCTGCAGCGGTTCAGTTGCACTGGGGGCACTGTCTCGTTGGAAGACAGCCGTTTGAAGACTCTGGAGAATGCCAAAACATAGTTAGTTCTCGGGAGTCCAACGCCACGGATCAACTTGACTGTTGCGTCTTGGCGATCCTGAATCATGCCAGAAGGCCATCCCTGGGGCTTCAACATCGCGAATCAACATAAATGTTGCACCCCCATAATCCTCAATCCTTCCAAAACACCATTGCTGGTACGTTGATCATGGGAATCCGTGAAACTCTTGCCAAATGTATAAACGAATGTGCGCGGCGCTCAAGCGAGAACCACATTTTGAAGACGACCCGCCCTCCATCCGTGAAGCTCTTGCATATTTAAAAATCGAATGTGCGCGGCGCGCAGGCGGGAACCACATTTTGAAGACGACCCGCCCTTCATCCGTGAAACTCTTGCAAATGTTTCAAGCGCATGTGCGCGGCGCTATGGCGAGAACCACATTTTGAAAACGACCCGCCCTCCATCCGTGTAACTGTTGCTACATTTTCAGCTTCAGAGTCACCAGTGGTGAGAACATTTCAGGCGAAACGCCCGGCCCGGCCAAAAAAATAACCTAGTCTCGGGGTGCGACAGGGAGAACTTATTCATATGGAAAAGGAATGGAGAAGGAGGAGGAGGAGGAGGAGGAGGAGGAGGAAGAGGAGGAGGAGGAGGAGGAGGAGGAGGAGGAGGAGGAGGAGGGGGAGGAGGAGGAGCAGGAGGAGGAGGAGGAGGGGGAGGAGGAAGAGCCCGCCACGCCTGGACTTCCTGGGCGGCTGCTCCAGCCACCCGTACTCTGCGGAGCTGAGGGGCCCGCCCTGGACGACCCGCAGCTTGGAGGCGACGTCGATGGGGAGCCGCGCTGTCGCTCGTACCTGGGCTGTGGCCTTGTCTTCCAGCGCTGCCTCTCTTTGTCGCTCAGAGGGCGGCGGGCGCCGCCAGCCACCCTGGTCCTCAGGATGGCCGCCGAGTCCCTGATGCTCTGCTGGGGCACGCCGGCCTGGGCCAGCCGCCGCCCGTGGGAGGGCTTCTGGTGCATCCTCTGCTCCTTGGTCGCGTCTTACCCGAGGCCCACGATGGCGCTCCAGCGCCGCCACACCACGGCGGCGCGCATCATGGCGGCCAGCGAGCTGGAGGTCCAGGCCCCGGTCGTCTATGAAGAATCTGCACTTCACACCCTTGGCCTCGGCCTTCACCTGCCGCAGTGGCCCCTTGAGCCCGCAGCACATGGCTACTGGGGGCAGAGTCTGGCCCACTTGGAAAGACATTCAACTCAACATGATCGGCTTCGTTTTCAGAAACGAAACGCTCGATCTGGAATCTGGCCCATTTTAGCCGACATACAAGTGAAGACCACATAACATTCAAAAGACAAGCCCTGGACTTTGGATCTGGTTCATCGTCGTTCAAATTCAATGGAAGCCTAATGCACGCTCGAATCATGTGCGTAAGTCTATATCTATTTGGGATCTGGGATCCTGTCACATCCGAGTGGGATCTTGACGAATCCTATCAGCGACCTTGCGAAGCTTCTCACACATCCAAGAGGAAGCGCCCATGCGGCGCCTACAAAGCGTTTAGGAGGCGCCCAGGGGGCGCGTATAAGGCGCCCAGGAAGCGCCCATGGAAACCCCTGTACGGCGTCTACTGGGCGCCAATGATCCGAGGCGCTGGTAGGCCGTGTTCGTACCCGTCGGGGTCTCGCCCGTCTTGCTGTCATCTCACCCGTCCCGTTCGGATCTCGCCGTGCTCCCGCCGCGCGGCAGCCGCCCAGACTCCACGGGCGCGGCAGGAGCTGCGTCTACGCGACGGGCACCCGCGCGGCCACCGTCCAGACCCCGCGCGGCAGCCACGGCGCAACGCAGCAGGAGCTGCCGGGTGCAGGCGCGCCCGTCTGGCGCGCGACGGCGCGAGGGACCCCGGCGGCAGACGGGCCGGGGGCCTCGGCGGGCACCGCGGCGCCGCCAGTTCGTGCTCCGCGGCCTCCGCTTCACGAGCGCGCCCCGCAGGTTGCAGCCGATGGCGCAGTTCGGGGGGAGGCGCACCCATGTCTTCCAGCGCCTCACCCCTCCTCCCTTTTCTCCTCCCCATCTGCGTCCTTTCCTCCTCTTCCATCTGCTCCTCCTTCCTCCTCGTCCTCCTGCCTCCTCTTCGTGCCTCCTCCTCCTCCTCTTCCTCCTCCTCCTCCTCCTGCCTCCTCTCCTCCTCCTCCTCCCTCGCCCTCTCCTCTCCCTCCTCCTCGTCCTCCTCCTCCCCCTCCTCCGACTGCGCCGGCTCTGCCGGCTCCGCCGCTCCGCGGGCTCCGCCGCCTCCGGCGACGGCGGCTCCGACGGCGGCTCCGAAGACGACTCCGACGACTCCGCCGACCCCGCCGACTCCGCCGACCCCGCCGACCCCGCCAACTCCGACGCCGACCCCGACGACGGCAGCGGCTCCGCCGACGACTCCGCCGAACGATGCCGTTGGCGCGCCGAGGCGGGCGCCGCGCGCGCCCCCGGGGTCGCGCGACGCCGTCGGGCCGCCGCGGCGGGCCCTGTCCACCAGCGCTTCTCGCCTGACGGCGGGGGGGGGAGGGCAGGGGCGGAAGAGTAAAACGACGCGAAGATCGGGACAAAATCGGATCGGGATAACCCGAAATCTCTGAGAATCGGCGGGTTTGGAGGATGTATTGGGCGCCGCGGCCGCTCCAGAGCGTTCCGGAACGCTCTGAGAGCGCTCCGGAACGCTCTGGAGCGATTTATCCCGATCCTAGCCCTGTTTTAAAGAGCCTGGCCACGGTGGCGGCGTCACCGAAGACCGACCGGTTTGATGGCGACACCGAGACTGGCCGAGCACGCAGTGTGCCGGAAACGGCCGAAACCAAAGCAGCAGGGGCGCGGCAGCGGCGCCGCGCCCGACCGAACCAAGCCGACCGCGATGCAGCCGAATCGACAAAACCGCGGACACCTCCCTTGGAGGGGGATGGGAGGACGGGAGGCGCGATGACGAGAAGGGTGGAGAAGGGGGATGGAAGGGGCGGGGAAGGTGGGGACTGGGAGGGGGGGAGAGGACGAAATGGGGGGGAAGGGACGGGGGGTGGGAGGGCGAGCGAGGGGGGGGCTTTATCCGTGGGCGCGCATTGCCCTGGTGTATGGCACCCGTTTTTGCGGCCGCGCTGCGACCAAGGGGCCACCGGAACGAGAAGGGGGAGGAGAGGAATGGGGGGATGACGAGGAGGGGGGGGGGCGAGGGACGAGGATGACGCGAATTTGGCTGCTTGAAATGCACGGTGGCACCGTGCCAGACGAAGCGGGCGACGGGGTGGGCGACGACGACGACGATGACGACGAGGTGGAGCAGGGGGGGTGGATCAGGGGGGTGACGAGGAGGAGGAGGAGGAGGAGGAGGAGGAGGAGGAGGAGGAGGAGGAAGGAGGAGGAGGAGGAGGAGGAGGAGGAGAAGAGGAGGAGGAGGAGGAGGAGGAGGAGGAGGAGGAGGAGGAGGAGGAGGAGGAGGAGGAGGGCGACGACCCCCCCTGCAGGCGCACGCCCACAGCCCACTATCAACGATCCGAAGCAGCAGCGCGGACAGGCGGAGGCGGCGCCAGCGAGGCCGTGCACGTGCAGGCGAGCGGCGGGGCGGCGGCGCGGGCGGCGCGGGCGCTCGGTCGACCATCTTCGGGACCCCCTGGCGCGCGAGCGACAGGAGGGGCGGCAAAGGCCCACGTGCGCAACGAATGGACGCTCCCCTGGTCGAGCCGAAGCCTGCCAACGACGAACCAGACACAGCAAGGGAACGCGAAGGGGAACCGCCGCTGGGGGGGAAACCCCGGCAGGAAACAGGACCCACCACGCGTCCAGCGCTCCCGGGGTCGGGGCATGGCGAGCCACGGGGAGGCGCGAGGTCCTCGCACCGCGTCGTGCCAACGAGAGGCCGGGCGAGCTCCCCGCGCTGGCGGCTCGGGTGCCGGGCCGATCGAGGACGCCGTCCCTGGGAGAAGGAAAAACGCCGTCAACGTACTCCAGATTTCGTTATAACAGGGAGGGGGTCTCAACCCTCCCAGACGAGAAGTTTTAGACCCCCCCCCGTGGGAGAACCCTCCAAAACATCGTCCCCAGACCCCCCCAGGCCCTCCAAGATAGCCTGGAAGAGACCCCCCCCGAAATGAGACCCCCCTCCCTTTTATTACGAAATCTGGAGTAAACTCCCGGCGCTCCGCGCGGCGCGACGCGTGTGCATGTCCGTGGCCTTTTTGTCGACCTCGCGGGCGCCGTGCTCGCGGGAGCCCCCTCGCCCGTGCGAGGGCCGCGAGGGGCTCCCGACTGCTCGGCGGAGAGCGCGGCGGGCGGCCGCGCCTCGGGGCGGAGGGAGCCGCGCCGGCGGGGCGGCGCGGCGGGCGGCGGGGGGGAGGAGGAGGAGGAGGAGGAGGAGGAGGAGGGGAGGAGGAGAGGAGGAGGAGGAGGAGGAGGAGGAGGAGGAGGAGGGAGGAGGAGGAGGAGGAGGAGGAGGAGGGAGGAGGAGGAGGAGGAGGAGGAGGAGGAGGAGGAGGAGGAGGAGGAGGAGGAGGAGAGCGAGAGCAAGCGAGGGAGCGAGAGCAACCAGAGGCCGAGTGTTGGCGCAGGAGGCCAGGGCCTGGCGGGCGAAAGCGTCCAGACAAGTGCTGCTGCGTCGGCGGCTGGGCAAGGGACGTCTGCGCTGGCGCCGGGATGCCTAAGCGAGGATGCCGTCAGAGCGAATCGTGCCACAAGGCAAAAGGGAGGAAACGGGGGAGGCGCGGCCGAAACAGGGGCGGACGGAGCGAGCGGCTCAAGGGGGGGACGGATCGCTCCCCGAGCGAGCGGCGCGGCCGGCTCCGCGTGATCCAGAAGACCTGCGAAACGCACGAAAACTCAAACGACTAAACAAGAACACTGCCGACCAGCGTTCAAAACTGCCTCACTGGGCCACACAGCCAACCGACAGCTCATGCGCCAGAGGCGGGGGGGGGCTCCATGGGGGCCACGTGGACATTGGGGACAACGCGCACAATCGGCTCGGGGCCGAAAAGGGGGGAGAGCCGTGGGAGGGCCCCCGCTCCGAACGCCCGAGGGCCTCCTGGAGCTCCGGCTACCGGCGGGCAAACCCTTGCAGGGTGCAGCGGTGCCCGTGTGACGGGAATTGTATGCTGAGGGATTGCAATCAATCACCGCACAACGAATCATGTCACGTGACCTGCCCCACTGCGGCCACAGACAATAATGCACTACAAACCAGTCGCCAGTGTTCGACCTTCCAATCGTGCTCGAGGTAATGGCCACAATCGTATCCGTATCTTTTTCTCCCCCGACTACCCGCTTCCCCTTGCCACCCAGCTTCGCACACCGCGCCCCGCGAGCTGCGCGACGCGCGGCCCACCTCCGCGCCCTCGCGGGGCCTGCTCGGAGCAGCTCGCCTCTCCGGCCCGAGCCGCGAGGGCGCGGCTCTCGCTCTCCGCGGCCCCCAGCCTGCAAGACGACCCCCCAACCAGCCCTGGGGGGAACCGGGCCCCGAGGGAAGCGGGCCCCGTGCCCTGTGGGCCTGGCTCCTGACTGCCTACCAGGCCACCCCAACCCAGCCCGAAGACCCGAATTTCGGGTTGGGGGGGGGTACGGGCTCCATATGTGTTTTCTCGATGTTTCCCGACCCCCCCCCCCCAACTGGAAATGGAGGTCAATTTGAGGCCTTCGGGTTGGGTTGGGGTGGTTTGGTGGGTGGTGAGCTCCAGGACGAGAGCTCCATCCCGAACCGTTCTCGGACACAGGCCCCTGGGGCTCGTGGAGGGCCCCGAGGGCCCGGGAGCGGCGAAAGGTCTCGGGGCCCGCTCCCTTCGGGGCCCGGGCTCCTCATCTGGCGGCGCGCACCAGCGGGCAGGGGGAGGGGGGAAGGCCTCTCAGAGGGAGGCCGCTTCTCCGAAGGCGCGGGCCGCACACCTGCAGGCAAGGCCAGCACCTCCTCGAAGAAGCAGGGGTGCTTCTGCCAAAGCCTTCCCCCTCCCCCCCTCCCCCCTTTCCTGCGCGTGGCCGGGCCGACTCACGGCGACTCAGCACGCCCGCCGCCACCCGGGGCGGAGTTTCGCCGGCGCTTCCCGCCCGGGTGCGCCCGCGGCGGGCGCTCCAGGGGAGCAGGGCGGCGACGAGGCAGAGGCGGGGGCCCCCCCCGGGGAGGAGGCGCCTGGACAGGCGCAGCGCCTGCTGGAGCATGTCGTGCTCCGACATGCCCTGCGGCGAGAGCTCGGCCGAGGGGTTGCGCGCGGGCCGCTCGAAGGTGGCCGGCGCGGTCTGCCCCTGCGCGCGGTCTCTGGGTGGGGCAGTGCAGGATGCCGGCTGGGACAGTCGGGTCGGGCGAAAGGGGGGGATAGCAAAGGGGGGGTTTGAGAATCAGCTCACATAGCTGATTTTCCTGGCGCCTCCCGGCGCCGGAGGCGGCCATGTATCGAGGAATGGGCACCTCGGTGAGGCCGAAACCAGCTGCATGCAGCAAATTTCGTAACCCCCCCTTTCCCAATCCCCCCCTTTCGCCCGGCCCGAGACAGGAGCGCGGGGTGTGGGGGAGACTGCGGTGGGATCGAAGACATCAGAGCACCCCTCAAGAGCATGAGACCCTCCGCCAGCCGAGCTGAAAATTCGAGGGTGCCCTCCCCCAGGGTGCACAAGAGTATCCAACAAACGCGAAGAACACTAGGGCACCCTCCCCAAACCGACCTCGACCTTATACCTCGGTCCGACTCTATGTCGAGAGAACCAGAAGGGGGCACAAGGAACGGGGGAACCAGATCTGTTGGGCTCGGAGGTCTTAACAAAACACACGCAGTCTTCGAACACTTCGTGCTTCTGACAAACAGCAACGCTGTCCGTGCCTCCCCGCCCATCGTCCCTTTCCGTTCCCCCCTGGCCTTCCGACCACCCTCCACCACCGTCCCCGTTCCCTTCCCTTCCCGTCCTGA